CCATTGGCCACGATTATGTTACAAATTTTGATGAATTTATTAATAAAGTGATTAACTTTATTCAGAAAATTAATTTCAAAATCTTTTTGGCGCTATACTAGAACTATATTTCTTCGCCAATAGGTAGTATCGCACATAAAAAACACAGAACATAAACATAAAAAAAGTCATTTACGTGTTGTGTGTGTGTGTGTGTGGGGGGGGGGGGGGGGGTGGTGGTGAAACACACAAAAATCAAATTTGAGTCTTATTTTGCTTTTTTTTATGTTTAGGAATGTCTAAAGTCAGGTAAAATAACAATTTCGTATTATATTTATGATTTTTTTAAACATATAAAAATTCGATTTGGCTTTAAAAAAACAAGAAGAGATTTTTCCTGGAATAGGTCTTTAAACAATGGGGAAACATGCTGCCCGGCGCATAGTAAGCCCGCCCGGCTGTCACAATAATGTTATTGGCAAGTAATTGTTTGGGATAATGAATGAAATCACGGCATTTATTTAACTTTAACTTTATTTTACTTTCAAATTGTTTAAGTAGGGCGTCATAACATGGAAGTATTCATGGGTGTATGCAAGGGGCGGTCAGGAAGGTCGTACGACCCCCCCCCCCCCAACATTTCAAAGGTCCACATTTTTTTCAAAGACATTTTTTTCTAGGGCCTGTTCACAATGACATAAATGAAAAAGCATTGATGACGTACCAGCAATGAGACAAAAGACCTTGTCAATTGCGTGACGTAATCTATCTAATTCCAGCAATTCCGAGATTGAGCCTGCCATTTGCTTCAAGCAAATTGTATTGACATTTTAATCAATTCTTGCTGTTATTTCATTGTGAAAAGGTCCAAAAAAATTATGATCACGACCCACCCAGAAAAAATCCTGGATACACCCCTGGTATTATAGTTTTTTTTTATGATCATATTGATCTCTGTTAGTCGTAGCTCGTCGAGAACCAGCTTTGTTCAATATAGTTAGGCCTATTTACAAAAACGATGTGCAAATTTAGTTGCTCCTAATCAGATTCGAATTGCTAACGAAGCCCTAGTGACTTATACATTATTACTTGTGCTTGTTGTTTAGTTTTCTCTGTTTAACTTTACTTTTTTTCCCTTTCATTTGCCTTTTGTTTTAAGTTTTGATTTGCTTGGCTTTGTTTTTCTTTGAACGCACCGTTACGTACGAGTGCCACTGTTGTAAAAGTGTCGTTTCCAAATAAAGAATAATAATAATAATAATAATAATAATAATAATAATAATAATAATAACAATAATAATAATAAAATTAATAATAATAATAATAATAATAATAATAATCTAGCCATACAAATTACAGCTCCCACTGACGTCTCAGTCGAGTAATACGGGTAGCTGAAGTTTTTCTCGCAAATCTGACTACAAAACCATATCCAAATTCACGTTCCACTTCTGAGCCTGTGTTGTGCTTCGCACACGCCGCTGAGGGCGGCGTTCCGGGAACCCTGCGTCCAGAGGTGACGGAACTAGGGGGTGCTGTGTTATGGAGAGTAATGTGTGATCGTAAATGGTCTGCAGTCAGTTGGTTGTTACCATGCGCCAGTGATGTTGGAGTATATAGTACAGTAATTTGAAACTATTATGTAGGCCTAATGAATGAATAAAGTTCGGAGTTTGTCGGGTAGTGAAATGATTATTTCACATTTTAAGTGCTCCCTAAATTCATAAGTGTAAGTTAAATTACGGTGATTAATTAATTAATTATTTCGAATCCCTCTTTCCAAGAGGGGATGCAAATGCTTTGTGAAAATGAGTACGCCGCGGTACTCATTTTCACAAAGAAATATACACAACTGGTTAGCTAACAATTATGTCAATGTTACATGAACACCTGGGAAGGAAGGTGCAATCATGTTGTTACCTAGCAAACGTCTGTACTGGACAATGGGGGAGGGGCAGGCTGCTGATGTACTGTGTAGCGGGGGACGATGAGGCATAAGATCAGGCCTAACTAAAACAGTGGAATTATATGTGATAGAAAGTACACTTTCGGAAGAAATAAATTAAAATAAGAAAAAAAAATGACTAAGAATAATTCATTTGCAGAGGTACCTTATTTAAGTATTATGCCAACAATGCGGCTCTTGTAGCCCTGGCTTGTGCAAGGCATCCATGTGCAAAGCAGTGGTGTTTGTTTATCAAAATTTGTTTTTTTTTTTATGAAAAAAGCACGCCGGGAAAGTTTGCCTTACCAGGAAAAGGTGACGTATCTACCTTATGACGTATGCATGCTAACTAATGTGAGTGTGACGTCACCAAAAAATGAATATTTTCTATTATAACCAAAATATTAATAACTACAAAGTTTCTGGGCGTAAATTTCCTTAATATGAATGAAGGGTTGCTCAATCTCCTTGCCATACAAATTACAGCTCCCACTGACGCCTCATTTGAGAAATACGGGTAGCTGAAGTTTTTCTCGCAAATCTGACTACAAAACCATATCCAAATTTCACGTTCCACTTTTGAGCCCGAGTTGTGCTTCGCACTCGCCGCTGAGGGCGGCGTTCCGGGAACCCTGCGTCCAGAGCTAACTGTACTTGCATGCGTTATGGACTGTCGTAGTTGTGTGGGACAGGAAATGGTGTGCAGTCGGTCGGTTGTTATGATGGCCGGGTAGGGTACCGATATGACCATTGTACATTTTATGTGCTGAAGTCACTCCACACATAAGTGTAAGCCAAATTACGGCGATTAATTGCCGATGAGCCGATTACCACCTCGAGTACGGTGCTCGTGAGCAAAATTGGAAGCAATTGCCCTTTAAGGTATACAAGTGACGGAAATAATATTGTACATAGAGCCTATATATAACTTTATATGCCACTAGTAATGCCTACGATGAGTTGTTATTTCTTACGATCATTTAACTAATGAATTAGCAGAGTTTTGTACTTTTGCAGTACATTCATCATACAGTACGGTATCTGTATAGTGAAGTACAAATAGGCCTAGTTTGGAATTATTGAATAGACATTCTCGTAGTCAGGTAGAATGTAGTTTTGTATCATGGATTTAATTTCCAAATAAAAACTGTATAATAATTAATTACTTGTACATGGTTGTATAGTAGGCCCTAATATTATTATATAGGCTATATTGCCTGTGTGTTTAACCAGGTCATACGCACTTATATACAATTAATTGCATGGTGTGTATGTACATGTTCTTCCAACGTGTGTATTAAATAATAATGTAAACATAAATCAAATGCAGGCAGTAGTGCAGGGCTGACAAACATGGACGCAACATGTACACAGCACTTTTCAGATACATAAGTTTTCAGATAATATAGAAGGTGTTGTAATTGGAAGGGAGTAATGTGAGAGGCAGCAATGTTGGCAATAGACCAACATGTTTTGTAATTGGAACGTATTGATAGCGTGAGCCATATATTGGATGTAACGAAGACCATAGTAATGTCGTAATGGTGAAATACGCTAGCAATGTCGAAATTTGGCGAAGGCGCCAAGTGTCGTAATGGGCTGCTAACCGTCTCGCATCGCCGCGGGACGACCCCGCATTTCGAAGTGATTTTGGATAAAACACGCATTTTGCACATGCGTGATCATAAATTTGTCACGCATTTAGCGCAGGTCTATGCGTGATAACGAATTACCACGAATTCAGAAGAAAAAGTATTGTAAATTAGAAGAAATTGGTTTTATTAAAAATATAAAAACGGTCATGCAGTGACTGAAATTGCAGTTGTGAGTTGTCAGCATCAAACACGCACGCAGTCAGGTAAGTACAGCAACGTAAATACTTAATTCACTGACACGTTACTAAAAAAAAGATCAGTATGCCTTTTCATTTTTTGTTTGAGTAATGAAATGTTTGTGTACATATTTTGGGTGCTCAAATTGAACATAAATTGGAACTGAAATTGTACGTGGCTTTAATAAAAATATGTTTGTCTATGTACCTGGTAATGTCAACAAACACTCCTTGAAATCGTTTAAAAACATATTTAAAATGCTACGAATCAAAATCTCGCTATAAACACTTACATCTCACTGAATTTTGGAATATGAATAAAAATCTCGCTTTAAACACATATCATTGAATTTTGGAACATGAATCAAAATCTCGCTAACACCTACATCTCACTGAATTTTCAATTGGCTAAAAATATAGTAGGCCTACAATGCTGTGCTAATGCCACACCAAAAGAAGCGTTGTGCAAATAAAAACACTGACGTATGCCGAATTTCAGTCACATGGTGTTGCGTGGTAGCAAGACTGAACATATAAAAAATGTTCACTTGTTCTTTATTGGCTGCGGAAATAAACACTGCTCTACATACTTCAGCCACGTACAATAATAATATTTCGAATTATAGACTCATAATGCATTGAATGCCTGTTCCAAATAACTTGTACTACCACAGCGAGTAGATAGGCCTCGTATTAATTAACAGATAGTTGTGTTAACGAAGCTGTATTTAACTGTATTTACCATTTTTTGATGTAAGCTTATGCATTATGACAAGAAATCATTTTCTAGTGTTATATATTTTGATCTGGTTTCCTCTAATGCTGATGACAATAATTGGAAACTTCATTGTCATGCTCACTGTGTATCTTAAACGTTCGCTATTACAAACTCCGAATAATATATTTATATCATCCTTAGCACTCTTCGATTTCTTAACCGGCATTATTGGATTTCCATTCCTGATGGCTCAATATGCGCACGTGGGACAGTGTGAAGAAATATGGTACAGTCTGCCACCCTGTATATTTATCGCTACTTCATTGCTGAATCTGATTGTGATGGTTTTTGATCGATTTCTTGCGATTAAATTCCCTTTTCGCTACCATGTGTGGATGTCACCTGAAAGAGCAATTCGAATTATTATTATCATTGATGTTTGTGGTGTTTGTTACGGAGGAAGTCCATTTTTTTTGGTTTTCTTTGCAAACACTTTTTTGCCACCACCTAATGTTACGTATGAAAACATGACGTATGAATACGACTGTGGGGTTTCTGCAGTAGGAATTTACGGCGACCCTGCTATCAAATACTTGTTCCTCCCTTTTTCGGGCTTGACAATGCTGATCATGTTTATGGTGTATGCGTATATTTACTTAATTGCGTCAAAGAAAGGAAAAGAGAATGCACTACGCCTGGGAAAGAAAATTAGAAGACGAGAAATGAAAGTGACGAAAACCACAGCCATAGTGCTTATTTCTTTCACACTGTGTATTACGCCAACTGTTCTCAAAGGCACAGTCATAGCATACATTAATAGTTCCACATGGATTATGATTTATAGGTGGTTTTCAGCTTTATTCCTCTTTGCTAACTCAATGATGAATCCGTTAATTTATGCAGGAAGAAGTAAAGAAATGAGAAAAGAGTTCAAAGAAACATTTGAATTAATCGTTTGCAAGGTTTCATCCGGATCAGTAAAAGCGGACTCAGATACAAAGGCACCCACTCGCCGACAGTCGCCTAAAGTTGATTTGGTGACAACGTCGTTAACAAACTTGGCAACTCGTTTTGGACGTCATTTGGAAACGCAGGCGACGCAGTGGCGTAACTAGGTTGTGAGGGGCCCTGGTTCAAGAGTACAGTCGGGGCCCGATTTTTTAAATACTATTTTGACAATAAATTTTTAGATATTTTTTTTTAATTTGTAATTTTTAGATGACCATAATAAGTATTTCTACTTATGACCAAAAGAAAAGGCAACTTTGATATTTATTTAGTTGGTGTATTTATTTATGGGATTAACCATTGAACAATCAACAGTTCTTGTATAGTTTTATATGAGCCTACTTAAGCTAAATAAAATGAAATTGACTTATGTATGACCGTGATAATGTAATACACATATCCGATAAACATGGCAGCCAAACACCTTTTAATAAATATCGTTCACTTAGAAACATTTTATTGAGAGATTGTTTTAGTACTAAGTAACAGATATTTCTAATTCAATTAAAGAAGACAAAACAGAATGAAAAACCAAATTATATTCACACACTAAATTTTACGGGACTTGCAGGGGCGGATTTAGAGGGGTGCTAAACAGGCTTTAGCCCCCCCCCCCCCCTAAAATTTCATAGCCATTTCTTTT